TTCCTGTAATTTATTAAGACACTTTCTTAACTTTAGGTACCACATTCTGATGACTTTTTTGTTGTTGTTTTGGACCTGGGGCTTGAACTCAGGACCTGAGTGCTATCCCTTAGCCTTATCACTCAAGGCTGGTGTTTTTCTACTTGAGCCACTGCTCCATGACTGGCTTTTTTTGTTGGTTAATTGCAGATTAGAGTCTTACAGACTTTCTCGCCCAGACTGGCTTCACACCACAATTCTCAGATCTCAGCTTCCTGAGTAGCTAGGATTACAGGCATGAGCCACCAGTGCCTGGCTCTGATGACATTTATTTATTTATGTATTTATTGATGACTTTTCATTGTATTATTTTGACAACCTTGAGATCTTTTGAGATCAGATGTTGAAATGCCAGCCTCCCCGGTATGAATTTCTGTGTGTCTGTGTCACGTTACTTTAAAGTTAAATTTATTATTTTATTTTCTCTAAGTAGTTGTACACAGAAGTCTCATGTCAGGTTATGAGTACAATGCATCTTGACCAGTGACACGTCTTTCATCATTATGTCAGTCTCTCCCAACTCACCCATCCCGCCCGCAAGTTATCTGGCTCCATTTTCACATGCGTACATTGATGGTGATGACTGTATTTGCCCACCACTCCGGTCTCCATTCTTAGTAGTTTAAAATCACTATTTCTGAAATGAATGTGAGATCATCATGCTTTCACCGCACTTATTTTCATTCAGTGAGAAACTGTGAACTTAGTTCAATTCACCTGTTTCCCGTTCTTTTACCTTTGGTGATTTGTCAGTGACTCAAGTGCTTTAGCTAAATATCTTCAGCATCACACATCTTGTCTGTTCCTGTTCTGTTCCAAATGTCTGATCTCATAGAGTTCCCAGACCCTCTACAATTCCTTCCTCTATTCAGATACAATGATTTCTTTAAAACGTGTTTGCAAGGGCAAAGCTAGGCCTAACGATGACTAGAAATAAGTTAAGAGTTGGTAGCAGAAGTGTTCTGTGAGAACTGAAATCATAACTCCACTATGATCTGTATTTCCCACAGAGTTTCTTTGATCATATCCAGGAAATTTAGAAACCTTCACTTGTGACTTGGTCCCTGAATAGGAGGATAGGGCGCTGTCCTTGAGCTGTTGTGCTCAAGGCTGACACTCGACCACCTGAGCCACCTCTACTTTTCAACTTTTTGCTGGTTTATTGGAGACAGGAATGACACAAACTCTCCTGCCAGGGCTGGCTTTGAACTGCAATCCTTAGCACTCAAACTCCTGAGTATCTAGGATTACAGATATAAGGCCCTGGAGCCCAGCTAATCAGTATTTCAAAGGCTTCCCTTTACCTCCCATTTCCTTCACTGTATTTCCAGCCAGAGCCTCTTACATTTTTACTGATGCTACATATCATAGTCTGTTCTTTCATGTCCTTTGTGCTTTCTCTTTAAAAACAAACCTTTATATGGTATCTATACACAAAATACAATTAAAAACAAGCACACACAAGTTGTACAGCCTCTTCCCCTTGTTCCACAAATCACATTCAAAAAGCATCAGAGAATAATGTGGAGATTTACAGAAGGCTTTTTTACATAGGCCAAAAAAAGAGGTACCCCAAAGTGCATGAGTCTCCTTAAGTATCGTTTCTATGAAGTTCTGTCTGTCAGGCAGCTAACACATTTATTTATTATATTGATATTTTTGATCATTAAATAGTTTTTTGAGGGGGTTTCAATTCAACATGTCCATTTGTGAGCACAATGCGTCTTGGTCAATGTCTTTTTCTTTTGCTGGTAGCTCGGTGAGCCATATTCTTGGCTCTCTGTAAGTGTGATAGGCACTCCTGAATTGTCTATTCCCCTCATTTGCATCGCCATCTGCCATCCTGCTCTGGAAGACAAAGGATGCTGCTCAGGTTCTACCTATCTGAATAGAGGAGAAGCATAATCAATATAATTTAATTTTGCTTTTCTTTGATCTGTCAAATTAAAAGGAAGGACTGATGATAGGCTCACTTCTGTGTAAATGAGCGTAGGTTAGAAGTGTATTAAAATTAACATCTTGTATACTTCCTCAAGGAAGTAGAGAATTTGGAGCTAGGAGGAATTGTGTAGATTGCCTGCTATACCCTATTTTATCTCTGTGAAAATAGGGGAGAAAGTACTTTGTTCACCATGGTAGACATTGAAATCCAATCCATTATTAACCTTCCTTCCTTCCTCCCTCTCTCCTTCCCTCCCTTCCTCCCTCCCCCTCCTCTCTCTCGCTCTTTCTTTCTTTCTCTCTCTCTCTCTCTTTCTTTCTCTCTTTTTCTTCTTCTTTTTTTTGCTGGTTCTGTGGCTTAGAACTCCAAGCCTGGGTACTATTGTTCCTGAGCTTTTGTGCTCAAGCCTAACACTCTACTACTTGAGTCACTGCTACACTTGCACATTTTTTTGTGGCTCATTGGAGATAAGAATCTCACAAACTTTCCTGCCCCTGGACTGGCTTCAAATCTTGATCCTCAAATTCCACCCTCCTGAATAGCTCAGATTGCAGGTATGAGCTACCAGAACCCTGCATCATTATGCTTTTGAATTGCAAACATGAATAGAAATGTGGAAGTTTTTGGCCAAAAGACTGTTTTCCTAAAACTTTGAGCAGAAATCCCTATCCTGACTTTATTGTCCTGTGGACAAGATAATAAACATGCAGGGTATGTCTATCATCTGACCAAATCTAGCACAAGGGAGTGGCAGATTTGAGGATAGGGAAGAGTTGTTTCTCAATGTAGAAAATGTTGATGGAATCACAAATCTGGGTTACCCTAGCCAACAAAGTGTAAGTTTACCCTATCTAGCCATTCTATCTCGCCCATCCAGCAAAGGCCACTACTTACCCATTTCATCCATGTTGTGTCTCTTTAGACCTCTGTATCTTACACAGAGTTTCTTCTGGCTGGATTTTACCACCTGGTAAACTCCTGATCAGAAAGCAAGAGTTTTATGAGCCTTCCCTCTAGGTGCTGCTGTTTGCTTGTCCCTCTACATTCCAGTAACACTTTGGATCTACCTGTATGGCAGTATCTTTTCATGGCATTGTTGTATGTATATGTCAATGGCTTCTTCATGCATGTTCATTCCCAGTTGTGAACCTTTCCATAACCTAAACTTGTGGGCCTAGAAAGCTGGGGAACTTCAGATGAATTCCTAGAGTCTGCATTTCAGCAGGCATTTCTGCTGTGCAGTGTCTCAGGGAGTGTTGGGAAATGCCTGGGGATGTCTCTGGCTGTTGCAATGACTGAGAGTTGGGTACTACTGCTATTTCTTGGGCAGGTACCCAAGAATGCTAGGGAATACAATGACAGCTTCTACTGAGAAATCCTTACCTCAGCCTGTTTTGCTTTGCTGAAGAATAGAAAAGATGAGAATGATTTTTATAAGAAACAATTTCTGATTCCCAACAACCCTACACATGTACTCTAACTAGAAGAGCCTTGTCTCAAAAGTGACTCTGTTGCTTGAATAATGAAGTTTCTTATGTATTAAATCCATTTCTTTTTTTGTTCTGGTCCTGGGGCTTGAACTCAGGACGCATGTGCTGTTCTTGAGATTGTTTTGCTCAAGGCTCATGCTCTACCACTTGAGACACAGCTCCTCTTTTGGCTTTTGGTGGCTAATTGGAGATAAGTCTCATGGGCTTTGCTGCCTGGGCTGGCTTCAAACTGTGATTCTCACATCTCAGCCTCTTGAGTAGCTAGGATTACAGGCAGGAGCTACCAGCACCCAGCATTAACTCCATTTATATCCCTGTCTATTTCTCCCTGATCCTTCTGGGTCATGAGATTGAGGTATGAGACTAAACCATATGAAAGTGCAGAGTAAAAGTTTCATTATTCCCAAGCAAACCTTTCTTGGCTAGGTTTTGTCTAAGCCTGGTAGAAGTGGGTAGAATTCTATGCATTTTTTTCAACAAACATGGTGAGAAAATTTGATCTTAATTCTTCAACCACTGCACAGAAGGCTGAGAGTGACTAATTTCACTGATCTTTTAAAGAAACTATTTATAGCAAGCCTTCTGGCTAAAGAAAACCAATGTTGAGAGTGGCTCATAGATTTAAATCCAGTTTTCTGTCAGGAGGTGTCAGCAAAGCTAAATGGCTCTAGCGTGGTTCTTTAGGTCTTATTCTAGGAAGTTGGTCTTTTTGCTCTTTGTTAACTCTGATGTGGCTGTGGCATCTCAGATAGAGGAAGCATGTAAAGAGAAACTCATTTCATGAGTGTTTTTGATTCGTTGCCTCAAAGGAGATATTTTTGTAGAGATTCCTGAAACACAAGTTCAGTGATTCATGTGATTTTGCTGTCCTGTGTTATAAGTAACATAAAGTCTTGTTGAAAGAATTCCCTTCAGTTGGGCACCAGTGACTCATGCCTGTGATCCTAGCTTCTCAGGAGACTGAGATCTGAAGATGAAGGTTCTAAGTCAGCCCAGGCAGAGAAGTCTGTGAGATTCTTTTCTCCAATTAACCACCAAAAAGCCAGAAGTGGAGGCATGGCTCCAATGTTAGAACTCAAACCCTGAGTGAAAAAGTTATTGGAGAGTACCCTGGCCCTAAAAAAAACAACCCAAAACCCAAACAAGAATTATTTCCACATGTTACGTTTCAGTTGTTATTTGATAAAAATAGTGTTTAGTTTTCTCAAAAGGTGCTACATGAGCTGGGTGCCAGTGGTTCACACCTGTAATCCTAGCTACTCAGTTGGCTGAGATCTGGAGAATTGTGGTATAAAGGCAGATAAGGCAGAAATGTCTCTGAGACTCTCCAGAGTAACTAGCAAAAAGCCAGGCTGGAGGTGTGCCTTAAGTGCTAGATCACCAGCATAGCAAGTGTAAGGAGACATTCCTGAGTTCAAATTCCAGACTTATTTAACATCCCTGTACCACCAATGTTGTGTGTAAGAAGAACCTGATAAAGTAAAATTCTAGTCTGTTTTTAATGCATATTTGTTTACTTTTTTTTAAAGATACACCCAGAAGCATAAAAGCCTCCACTGCTACAGCTGAGCAGTTTTTCCAGAAGCTGAGAGATAAACATGAATTTACTATTTTGGTGACCCTGAAACAGACCCACTTAAATTCAGGAGTTATCTTCTCTATTCACCACCTGGATCACAGGTAAGTAGTTGTGGAGTTTTCTGTGTTTACCTTTCATACTTAAAAGAATATATATTTAAGCCAGATCTGGTAATCCTCGTTTCTTATTAGATTGAGATCTGAAGATCAAGGTTCAAAGCCAGCCTGGTTAGAAAAGTCCATGAATTTCTTTTTTATTTTATCTTATCGTTTTTGTGAGTTTCTTATCTTCAGTCAGTTACCAAAAAGGTAGAGCTATGGCTCAAGAGGTAGAGCGCTAGCTTTGAGAAAAAAAAAATTATAAAGCTTAAGGACAGTACCTAGGCCCTGAGTTCAAGCCTCAGGACGGGCACACGCACACATACAAATGAACATATTTTAGGAGAGTAAACAAAAATCAACTATGACCTATGACCTCCACACAAAAGGTGATTTTGCTACGTTATGCAAAACGATGGACAGAGATATTGGGATCTCCCTGAAAGCAGAGGATGCCGGGCACCCAGGGTGAGGGGTCAGCAATGCATTGGGGTCTCCATTTGTAGAACAAGTCTAATGGTTCCTAAATTCCTCAAGGTATATCATTCTCAGTGTTACAGACATACTTCTTCCTTTCTGAACTGTTACCCACAAGATACTATTCTTCCCTTTTTTTTTAAATTGGCTGTTAATCACTGGGAGATCTTAATCACTATGAGATAACTTCTTCTTTGCATCATGGATTACAGCAATCACAGCTGTGTATTTCATGTGTGTTGGAAAAAAGTGCTGTGTTAGCCTGGTGCTGGTGGCTCACATCTGTAATCCTAGCTAATCAAGAGGATGAGATCTGAGGATTGTGGTCCAAAGCCAGCTGGGGTGGGAAAGTCCGTGAGCCTCATCCACAATAAGCTACTGAAAACAGCCAGAAGTGGTGCTGTGGTTCAAGTGGTAGATTGCTATCCTTGAGCAAGAATGTATTCAGGACCTGAGTTCAAGCCCCAGGACTGACACATACATACACAAAAAGTACTATCTAGTATCTTCCCCTTGTTCCTATAACTAGGAACATCCTTGGGAGAGCAGGTGGGATCAAGGGGAGGAGAAGACAAGAAAGAGAAATTGATTCATGACACTTGGCATATTGATAGGTTGCTACTAAATAATGCTATGTGGCTTTGTTATCATTCATCGCTGTAAGAATAGCTACAGTTAGGACATGGGAGGTTCCTTTGTGTATTTTGGATACTTGTGCTACCATCTTACTATCTGTGGCCCTGGCGCAGTTATATAAGCTCTCTGTGTATCAAATTTCTTATCTGTAACTTGGGATAATAATAGTATCTACTTCCTAGGTTGTGAAGAATATAGAGTTGATATATGTAAAGTGCTTTATTTATATAATAGCCATAATTATACTATACAGGTATGGGCAGAAAACTTATTTGCTTTGTCTTGTCAGCAATGAGGCTGTGTGGGACTTTGTAAATCTCTTCTAAACCCAAAAGGTCAAACACAAGCAAATACATAAGAAAAACTTAAGAAAGCAAGACTTAAGAAAGAAGGTTGGGCTGGGAAGGTGGCTCAGTGGTAGAGCGCTTGCCTTGCATGCATGAGGCCCTGGGTTCGATTCCTCAGCACCACATAAGCAAAAAGAAAAAAAG